CCACCCATTTTTTTTCTCAATTAATGTGAATCAAATAGGCTCTCAATCAAGCACAAAAAACCAAAAAGTTGATAAACAAAAAAGGATAAAACTGTTTATACGGCACCTGTGCACAATTCAACAAAAAATTAGCGAACCATGCTATGCGTACACCGAGCTTGACACTCCCCTCACACAAGAGGCGAGGTCCACGCATTAAATGCACCGAGACCCACTCCCCTCATGTGAGGGGAGTGTCAAACTCGGTGTACAAGAGGCAAAATTCAAAATTAGCCGCCTATGTTGCTAGAGCAGACAACAAGGCGTACTTATGGCAGTCTGGCAGATTGTTAATGATACATAGCCAAAAATACAATACGGTAATTCTAATTTGTAACCCCGGTATAAATAAAACAACAAAACAAATAATTAATTAATGATTCGTGTGCAGTGTTTGTTATCTTGTCATTCTGCTACTTGTCTTTATAACTATTGTGTACAATGACTCGTGTCGTTTTTGCATTTATACTCTATACATTATGAAACTATACTAGAAACACCTCCCAAATAAGAATCAACAAATTAATAATCATTGTCTAATTGGTATTCCATGTTACACAAATACAATGGTACAGAAATAAACAAGAACTACAGGCTTCGGGGACTTCAATTCCACCAAGAATGGAATAATACTACCACTGTAATAAGCTCATGTCCAATTAGAATGGAATGGCTCAAACTGAAGTTACTTCTACGAATTGAGCTCATGTGACCATTCATGCTGCGGAAATCAGCTTCCTTCCATAATTTACCTTGAAGTCAATAATATTTATTCTGTTGGTTATCCCTTTTAAGTTGAACCTTCAATTTTTTACCACCTAATTGGTAGCCGTTCATCATATTTATTGCATTCTGTGCAACTGACGGGGAATCGTAGCTGACGAAACCTGTAGATATAATCAGATCAGAACATAAGCTATATCAGATATAATGTTAATTTAAAGAGCCCACATACCAAAACATTTGCTGACACCAGTTGTTTTGTCAACGAAAACCTTAGCACTCAAGATCCTACCAAATCGCTGAAAGGTATTTGCAAGCTCTTCGTCACCAAATTCTTGAGGAATATGGTAAATAAATAAATTAGCTCCAGGTGGACCTGCTTTCCAAAAGATTGTTCCCAAATAAGATTGTGCACCCGTCTTAGTATGTGCTTCTACACACACACAAACACATTGTACACATTTGTATGAACACAGAGACATGTTTTGTGCACACATTTACAAAACAATAGCTGCACTACAGAAATATACACGATTAAGATTTCCAACAACCTTCAACCTGACCACCAGATTTTGTATTGACACTTGAATATGCTGCAGATTGACTGTTTGTAGTAGGAGATATAGAACCAGCGGAACCTGAAAAAGGTCTGTTGCTTGTGATTCCTCGAGGATATGGCATGGGATATTGAACCCCCGGCAAAGTTTGGAAAGGAGATCCCAAAAAACTTGAAGGTGACAAAGCATTGCTCCGGTTTACTGGTGGAATTTGATTGTTAAAGGCATGTTGATTCTGCACCGGTGGAAGGCGATACTGCAAGAGCCCATAAGCCCCCGTAGTCTACAAAGGCCAGCAGAAATTGATATAAATGTACCTTCAGAATCAACTGTCAGTATTAAAATGAGAAAGGGGAATCCAGAAATAAAACAAAATACAAAGCATGAACCTAGAATTCCAACAGAAAATACACAAGGCAATATTCAAGGCTTCTTCCGAAATATACAAGCCAACAAACCTGATACCCATATCCGTTATACGGGGGCATATAACCCATAGGTAAAGCACCAAATAAAGATGTATGCTGTCTCGAGTCAGCATCTGGCACATCAGACATTTGTGATAGAGCTTTCTGAGCCTTCCGAGCTTGCCTTTCCTTCTCTGTATCTGCCCACTTGACCACCAAAGGGACAGCTGAACCCTATTAAAGAAGTTAAGGATTTTAGCATTACTGAATCCACCAGCGGCCAATAATGCAAAATGGTTTGGACACTATAGTCTGAACTACTATATACTGAGTACAGTAACCAGTAAATACTAAGCCGAGCTCATAGGCCATGAAAATTAGAAACATATAGACAATCTGGATCAAATGATGACCAAAGGCTGCCACCTATTTCCAAGTACAATCTAATTGCCTCAAAATATCCTTATATAGAAGAGTATGCGTCCATTACTAGTACAGAAATCAAAAGGCACATAAGCTAATTACAGAATAAAAACATCATCCCTAAATGATTATACTGCGTAATCACTGTTAAGACAAGCTTGCGACCATGGATGATATCAAAAGCACATACTGCCAAGCAAACATCAACACAATTCCTAAGCATTATGCACAAAATTGTTCTCAGATAAAAGAGTCGTGAAAACTCTTGTGCAACTTTAATATATACGTAATTAGCATACAGTATGTCCGAGTCAAATTTCAAAAATTCACTACAGGATTTCACACAAGGATCCAAAGAAACTGGTGAATTCACACACACCTCCATCTTATGCTTCCCATTGAGGGCTTCAATGGCAGCAAGTGCTTGTTCTTTCGTTTCAAACTTCAGAAAAGCACAACCTACAAGAGATGCTGTTAGTTATTCATAATAAGAAAACTATGTCATGTTGCTCCTGTGTTATACAAATATCAAGCCATAAAGAAGGGGCCAAGGTTGGGAAATGCACCAGGTACCTTTGCTAGTTTGCTGTGAACCTCTAAGAATTTGCAAGTCCTTTATTGTTCCATGTTCCGAAAATAAAGCAGATACCTCAGCGTCAGATACAGTTTTTGGAAGCATGCCAACAAAGAGTTTGTGCTCTGAATTTTTTTTAAAGCAAAACAGAAAAGCATAAAACAGAACAAACAAAAGGTGTTAATAAAAAAATCACGTAATTGGCCAGCTAACATAGAATTTTGAAAGAATGTGAAGATTTCATAGGGAAAGAGATCTAGCACCGCCTTTATTTACAGAACCATCATACGGAAAACATGCAACACAATAATGAAAATATATTTGACCTAGCCTTTCCAACTCGCCGTCAGCATACTTCACTTGCAATGGACTGGATGCCTGAATTAGACACAAAGAGCAGGTTGCTTTTATATCAGAAAGAGAAAAACGAACATCAGGGTATAACAAAAGCACATCAGACAGCCTATGCAGTTGAAATTTTCCCACGGGGGTCAGTATTACAGTTAAAAAAATTACTCCTATTTATATAAATTGTGTAAAGCTATTTATATTCTATAAAATGTGAAGTCTAGGGCAAAGCCAGATCAATTCTTCAGCTACATCCTATTAAATAGTAGTCTACTTAATTATGAAATTTGTTGGCAGCAAGTTCAAAGCTTAGAATATTAGGTACAAATCCTGAATTTTCATCTAAGGATAAAAAATTAAACTACCAAGAAATGAGGAGAGAAGAGTCTTGAGTTTGATGGTGTTCAGTGGTTTTTGTGGACTAATACTATCTAATTTCATTCTTCTTAATATTGTGATTCAGATTTAATTTATTGAAGAGCTTGCAGAAGTACCAATTTTATGTATATAGAGCGCCCATTAATTAGATGAATATTGTTTTCCCGAATGGCAGGTCCATCTCTTTGTCTTAGATATGCATTATTTACTTCATAGCAAAGTAGGAATTCTCAAAAGAGCACAATGCATGTATCGAATTTAAGAATTTGTTGACTCATTCTGTGCTTTATTGCTGATAAACCCCTAAACATTCTTCCCCAACAATTTCATTAACAAGGTCACATATGTTTTCACTATTATTTTCACAAGTCCAAAAATGCAAAGCTCACATAAGTGGATACAGCTGAAGTTTTGACACAGTCTTGACTAGTTATACATTGACAAGAGAAGGGAGATCCTGAAGAGCTACATATTATGAGCTTCCAAGGTCTTAGATTGCAACACTTGAGTATTTTAAAAGAATTATTAAAGAAGACAATTACTGGTTTGCAAGTTGAAAAATCAATAACCCATTTCTTTTGGGTGTGTGATCATGCAGTTCAACCAACCATAAACATTTCAGCCATTCCTCTTTTACGCCTCTACAAAATTATTTGGTCAAAATGATTGAATATGCCGAGTTATATTGACTACACAAAAAGGAGAAGCCATGAATATAATTCACTGGGGGTGTGATTTTAACTAATATGAAATGACTTAAAATATGGTAATTACACAGCAATTTTAAAAATGTTAAAATTTGGCACTCAAAAAAATGTTAAAATTTGTTTTCAATAAATTATAATAATTACCTATGGGCTTTCAGACTTTGAAAATTTGTATGATTATTTCATTATCTATATCATCAAATATATCTTTCTCCATAAGTATCACAGCCAAATGCTCTCTCTCTCAAAAATAATTTGAGAATACTTCGCCAGCAAAAGAGTGAACACCTACTTGTTCCCCATCAATTTGATTTAAAAAGATAATAACTTAAGCAAAAATGCAGAACTGTTTGTTATTAGTTAGGATATAGTACAAAGATGTCTTCCAAAAATAGATTAGAAGAATAAAAAGGTATATCAACATTAATATGGTTGTAAATGATTCCTTCGCATTAGATCTTGTCGTAAAGATGTCAATACATTAGTAGAAATATAAAAATAGAAACATAGTAATATATAATTATTTAATGCGTACAAAACTAAAAAAATGTATTAGTGTAATGGGGAAAAAAAAAAAAAAAGTGAAGTAAGTTTTGATAAATTATATAGAATGAANNNAAATAATTAATAAAAAGAAAAGAGGGAGGGGGGGGGGGGGGGGGGGGGGGTTGATAGAGAATTAGTTACAACGATAAATAGTAGAAAGAAGTCGCATAAAACAAAACTGGTGATACAATGCTATTCCTCCTGTTAATACTTGATTGCGTCTTTAAGTATAGATTTTTGCCCTAAATCCAGAGGGGACAGGTGTCCCCACTGGACTCCATGAGCTCCTCCAGTGACAACACATGTTGAAACATTATAAAGCAGGCAAACTCAAGAGAAAGAATAACAACTGCACCCCAATTGCATGCATGATAATGTGTGCTTTTTTTTTTTTTTTGACCCTTTCACCCTTGCAGAGCCACTTGAAATATATATTGGCCCCAGCAAAAATAAATTGCTCACTTCGTTCAGTCATCATATCCGTCGACACTAAAAATGTCCTCTCCTTAAACAATTACAGAGGCAGTCTTACAAGTTTAACTTGCTCAACATATAGAATTGTGGATAATTCATGAAAAATCAATATCAGCTCTACCATGTTAAAGGAACTCTGGGTTTTTAAGTTAAGCTCAAACTGCTCTCCAGTGCACACGTACGAGCAGAAAATAAAGTAGCGGAAAATGAGAGAAGGAAGCTTCACAAATTGAAATTGCTTTACATACAATCTTAAAACCTATAAGGATGTCGTCGTTAACCAAAAAATCCTTTTAGACCTTGTTGTAACACCCCGCATTTTTCTTACTATGTGAACCTAAACTTGTCATTTAGCATAAATGATTAATTTGTTTACATGAACTTTTAGAAAATTATTTGAGTCAAATATTTAAAGTTGATGAAAATATATGAATATTATACTCGTTTTATAGTTCGTGTTAAATCATATAATTTGGAATCAAGAAAAAGTAATTTCGAGCTAGTATGCCGGAGTTATTCTAATAAAAAGAAATATGTTACCTTTTAATATTTTATTAATATATAATATAAAATAATTTTCCTTCTAGAAATCTGTACTGATTATAATGGTATGAAACGAATAGGTTTTAATATAATTAGAGTTATTAAACCTAATTATCCCATTAGCTTTTATAATAAATACATTTGTTAGCCTCATCACATTCACAAGCCATTTTTGTATTAATGTTACATGCATGGTGGCTAATTCCATTAATATTCAATTAATGAGAGGATGCCTTTTAACATTTTTGTAAGTTACGTGTGTGGCGAAAAAATTATATATATACGAGATGGGAATGATTTTCCTTCTACGACAATAATATTATACATATTTCGCGCTACTAATATTTTTAGAATTCGAGTAGTATTATATTTATATTTTCAAATGTCATTTTCAAATAAATTCTTAGATATCAAATTGAGGTAAGAATACATGATGCAAGCGGTAAATTCTTATTCCTTGATATTTGTATAAATTTTGGCATAAAATGTTATGAGGTCTTCGGGTCGAATTCTATGTTAAATCTTTCGAGATGGACCGTTAAGTTAAAGAGAAAAAGTTAAATCCTTCGAGATGGACCGTGAGGTCAAAGAGAAAATGTTAAATCCTTCGGGATGAACCGTTTGGTCAAAGATGTTAAATCCTACGAAAGATATGAATTCTTAAGAAATTCCTTGAGCTCTAAATCTAAAAAATGTTGGTATGTTATGCTATTTTTATATTTATATCATGTGAACAAGGATGTGCACGTATTCTTACTGAGTGTTTTCAAAATAATCACTCTTACAATATTTTCAAATAAGAACGGGTCGTGTGGACGCGTGGAAGATTGACAGAGCGATGCTAATGGGGTCGTCAAGTAAATTTTCTAGAAAGATAATTGTCCACTTTTATTTGAAGAATATCGTATGCATGTTATTTAATATGTTGTTCAAGCATTCGATATGTTGTGTTAAATTTTAAATTAATAATTTCAAATCGAGTATTTTCGATATATTTCCGCTTAAATTAGATAGAGAAAAATTTTGGTAGCACCACTAACTTATTTTAATTTAAAAATAATATAATAATATAAAAAAGAGTTCGGGGCGTTACACTTGTTGTACGACCTAAATATCCGCTTTAAAATTTCTTTTTTTCTTGCTCTATTAACAAGAAAAAGGGAAAGAGATGACTTAAATGCCTATAACTTCACAAAATTACGATTATTGTGATACCTATCTAAAGAATTGTGTGTTGCCATGATTTGTATCTCGAATACCTTACATGTAAAAGCTAGATGTACACAAGAAGATGTAATTGCAGCTTGTGAGAGGATAATACATGTTAAGTAGCTCATAATGAAGCAGTGTGCAATATGGTGATGGCACAACAGAGAAATCCTTGTATATTTATCTTTTCCAACTTCCACAGCACACTTACTCACATGATGTTTACTTCAGCCCCAATGTGTTAATCTACATTGGTAAAATCCTATAGCTTTCTAAAGCATTTATATTTGGTAACCATAGAGTTCTTATTCCTTTTCACCTGTTTCTGATTTTAACATCACAAGCTCCCAATCAAATGTTTTACCAATTCGTCCCATGCCAACTCTACTCCATAATTTTGTGACAAGACCCCAAAATTCTTTTCAGCTCTCTGCTTCCATTACATAGATAATCTTCATCTCGCACCACAGATTCGGGGAAAATGGGAATCCAGAATGAAATCAAATTTTGACAGAATTCTTAATTACCAGTTTCAAGTTCCTCCTTTTATGGGCCAAAACCTCTCACTACCATCGAGAGTTACTTATCAGAATCATATGCAGGGATTACTGTGGCATCTTAACCTACAATGTGACTTAACCTTGCTACACCTGAATCTAAAATTGGAGTCAATATTAAACTAACTAGTGTTCCTAACAGTATTAGCTACTTCTGAATTTAAAATAACCATAAATGAGATGGTCCTACTTATTTTCTAAACCACGAAGATATTAATGCAAGGCCTAGAACTAATTCAAAAAGTTTCAACTTCATTAAATAAAACAGTGACCAAAGTTTTCATAAACAAGCAATTAGCTGTCTGAATCAGACACTTCTCAAAGCATGTAGTCCGCAGTTATATTAAATTAATGTAAGTAATCTTTTCCATTTTAAGCGCTTAAAAGACAATACAATTCAACATAAATAAAACGAAACAAAATTACAGTAAATAATACTAACCCCAGGAAGCGTCTTCTTGTTGTGACATGCATTCACTGCCTTGTCGGCTTCTTCACTCGACGGACAAATCACAAAACAACATCCTTCCCAAAAAAGACAACAAAATTAGGGTTCCAACCCACAGCCTACGCGCTATCAAATTCAACAAATCTCAAAAAATAACAACTCAAATCATACATTGAGATCCAAAAACAAATTGAAGAAGCATGCAATGAGAGAGTAAAAAATTAAACCTCGAGAAGCACGCGTGGTCTTATCCTTAATTATGTTGACTTCGTCTACGAGCGCAAACTCTTGGAACATTGCGAGAATCTGGTCTTCAGTCATGTGCTTCGGCACTTGACCTACGAACAGCTTCACGCTCTCGTCGCTTTGCTTCTCCTCCGCCATTAAAGCGACAAAACTCTATCTTTCACGCTTTTTCCGCAGAAATGCTTCACAGTGATCTCTCTCTAAAATTTGTGTCTGTTTCTTGTTCTTCTGCTTAGAGTCTTCGCAGGGGAATTGGGGATTTTCTAGACGGCGAAGTTGGATCTTCTCTGAATTAATTATGATTGATGGATTTATAAATGCCCTCTGATTTCTGTACGATATTCGGGAATGCCACTAGGATTGTTTGACTTCTGAGCATCAGTTCAACGGTAAAGCCGAGATAGAGAAGTCGCCGATTGGCTGTTTTTCGAAATATATTTGGCGAGTACAAATGTGGACATCAGTAATTGACGTAAATACCCCTTGTTCGGCTATCAAAAATTTTCCCTCTTTATTCTCGTCGATTTAATTGAAATAGATTTGGCTCCCATTTTGGTCGGTTCCAAATTTTAAAAAGATAAAAAGGTTGTCCGGTCCTTTTCTGAAATTTTCTGGCAATTGAAGTCCTTAAATGTCAGTTTCTCAAGGCTGTGTTTTGTCTATACATCCACTTTTTCAGCGAGACATCATAAACTTAGAGTTTGATAACGAAAAATTAGCATAAACGTACCTTCTTTTAAAAGTTAATGTTTAAAATGTTCTTATCTTTTATTTTTTAAAATTTTCACCCTTAAATTCACATTCACATTTTATTGGAAATCATCATTTTCATCAAATTTCTCCTGTAAAATGACAAATATATCCCACATTTAAATAAAACAATAATAAAAAAAAGAAAAGAAAAGTTAAAGAATAAATTGCAATCATACTCTCAAAATTTTTTAAAATGTTCAAACGACTCCAAATAGCACAAAATGTCCCTACATTTCATTATTATTGTGCAAAATATCCATACATTTCATTTTTTGACATTTTCACCCTTATTTTTATATTTAATTGCGACATTTTGTGCTAATTACTCTTTTAATAATTTATTTGGACTCATTTGCACATTTTTAAAAGTTTGGGAGTATGATTGCAATTTATTCTTTAACTTTTCTTTTCTTTTGTATTGTTAAGGGGTATATTTGTCATTTTACACGTGAAATTTGATGAAAATGATTATTTTCGCAATAAAAGGTGAAGGCAATGGTAAAAATGCCAAAAAATGAAATGTAGAGACGTTTTGTACAATAACATTGAAAGGTAAGTACGTTTTGTGCTAATTACCCGTTTGATAAACTATACTTCGACAAAATAACTATTTGGTCATGATTCTCTCATAACAAATCCACAAACGGGATCTAACTTAACAATCATCGTTTTCAGCAGTAGGATGATTTAACTTAACCCAAGTGACAAGAGAATCATCTCGAAGGAAATGTTGAAAGAGTGAAGTATTGAATACGTAGAATTTGTAATGTTAGTAATATCAACATCGTGTTATATTTTATTGCTATTATTTCTTTTAGATACACAAACAAAATCTTTCGTTTACTTAAAAATTGTTGACCTCAAAATCCGAAATAATACACGTATCAAAGGAAGAGGAACTAATCAACTGACAACTTGAAACATTTGCGCACTGGAGACAAATGTAATCCGATTGATGAAACCAAAGGGAGGGAGATCATCTGTTTAAAATGTTCTTATCTTTTATTTTTTGAAATTTTCACCCTTAAATTCACATTTTATTGGAAATCATCATTTTCATCAAATTTCTCCTGTAAAATGACAAATATATCCCACATTTAAATAAAACAATAATAAAGAAAAGAAAAGAAAAGTTAAAGAATAAATTGCAATCATACTCTCAAACTTTTTTAAAATGTTCAAACGACTCCAAATAGCACAAAATGTCCCTACATTTCATTATTATTGTGCAAAATATCCATACTATTGTGCAAAATATCCATACATTTCATTTTTTGACATTTTCACTCTTATTTTTATATTTAATTGCGATATTTTGTGCTAATTACTCTTTTAATAATTTATTTGGACTCATTTGCACATTTTTAAAAGTTTGGGAGTATGATTGCAATTTATTCTTTAACTTTTCTTTTCTTTTGTATTGTTAAGGGGTATATTTGTCATTTTACACGTGAAATTTGATGAAAATGATTATTTTCGCAATAAAAGGTGAAGGTAATGGTAAAAATGTCAAAAAATGAAATGTAGAGACGTTTTGTACAATAACATTGAAAGGTAAGTACGTTTTGTGCTAATTACCCGTTTGATAAACTATACTTCGACAAAATAACTATTTGGTCATGATTCTCTCATAACAAATCCACAAACGGGATCTAACTTAACAATCATCGTTTTCAGCAGTAGGATGATTTAACTTAACCCAAGTGACAAGAGAATCATCTCGAAGGAAATGTTGAAAGAGTGAAGTATTGAATACGTAGAATTTGTAATGTTAGTAATATCAATATTGTGTTATATTTTATTACTATTATTTCTTTTAGATACACAAACAAAATCTTTCGTTTACTTAAAAATTGTTGACCTCAAAATCCGAAATAATACAAGTATCAGAGGAAGAGGAACTAATCAACTTACAACTTGAAACATTTGCGCACTAGAGACAAATGTAATCCGATTGATGAAACCAAAGGGAGGGAGATCATTCGAACTCCAACTCTCGAGTTATATAAAGTTTTGAATGTGATAAAAATAAATAGACAGGGTCTTGGTTAAATAAACACCACGAGCATATACTTATTTTATATTTTTTCCTGTGGCTCACAGTTAGATGAGATCTAAAACTTGTAGGATTTCATGCTCCGTGGTATTTTTTGCCTTAGTTGGTGGAATAAATGTTTTGTCCCTAGTCATTTCCATTCTAATTTTATATAACAAAGGTTGAAATTTGTCTCATATTACATTTGTACTTTTTAATAATTGTAGTCTCTAAGACATTTTCGAGTCAATTGCATGCTTGCTAACATCTACCTCCACGTACTTTGTATTATTCAATAATAAATTGTAGAGTCCTTGAGTCACTACACTTCATGTCACGATGAATCTCGTTTCACATTGTGCATAATAAAGACCCGATTTCTTAAACATTGGTCCATTTTGTTCCATTAACAAGTCAAGATCTTATTTGTGGTAGTAGGTAAAAAGGGGAATCACCTGCTAAACTCTTCAACGAAGGAAGTGCCACTCTTTTTGCGAGGCCCATTTGCCACGTGGATGTCACGTTATCACGTGGCATACACATATGTCATGGTATAACATATTAGAAGATTATCCAGTTCATCAACAATAGATTTCGAATATCTACAATTAATATAATGATTGAGAAAGGGAAGAAATAAGATATTTTAAAACATTTAAGTGTGTGATTAGAATTCCCATGTATCATTTAATCTAAGCCCTTATTTGGTTGAATAATGCTATTCATTGTCATTGGTGTTAAATACCAATGTAAATGATAATTGCATTAACATTAAATGAAAAATCCATCCTCATTAGTGCATGATTAGCCTTTTTTTATGTTTTCAGTTCAATCAACTAATGGAAAGTCAATATCGTGACTCTTTTCTTCCCAGCTTTCTTTTTAGTCAGTATGTAAGTACAGGAATTGTAATAAATTAGAATGAAGTTTTTATGTCAAAAGTGTTTTTATTTTATTACAGAGTTGAACGGTGAACAACTCCCTCCAAATGCAAATTTCAACTTGGGTATTTGGCACAAGACGTCTCTATTTTTCAAGCTTATTGTGGAAAAAGTCTTTACCTTTTATTTTTTGACATTTTGCCCCTATTTTCCACATTTCTTTGCGTTAAACGTCATTTTTATAAATTTTGGCGTAAAATGACCCAAATACCCTTCTATTTAAACCAAAAAAAAAAATAAAAATTGCAACTATAAGTTCAAACTTTTCACATGTGCAAATCAACCCAAAGTTGAAAAAAAATAAAATAAAATAAAAAATCAAGTCTTCCGCACCTCACCTCCCACTCCCATTCAACCGGCAGTCAAAAATCCTAAATTGCTTCGTTTGAGTGGTGAATTACAGCAATTGATTCACTACTTAGAGTCGTTACACTTTGAATTGTATTCTAGTTAGAGCAATTTGTTGATTGTAGATGTGGAGGAACACCAATTGAAATGGAATCGAAGGGTTTTGCGTTTTCTCCGTTTTTTGAATGACCTGCCATATCCAGGCAAAATTGGGGAATACCTATATGCTCATTGGATGCGCCATGAGGAGTAGGTACTTGAGGTGGTGGTCAGCGATCATGGGTCCCACCACTGGGGCCAAAAAATTCGCCTGAAAATAGCAAAATGGCTGTGTTCGAAGTTGTAACCTGTTTAGTTTGATCGCGTAAATTAAATAACGTTTGAGGACCATGAACAGGGACGTCTTGCTATGTATATTCTAATGGAATGTTGGGAATGGCATGAGTCTTGTCGGAACAGGTGGTACCGCTCCGTATTTACATTTGCGAGTTCGATATTTTGGCTTGCAATTTCTACCAAGTATGTTGGCATGGTAATTGGATGTTGGGTGGCATGTGTAAAGGGGAGTGAGGACTATTTGGGGGTATGGAGTTCCGATGGTTTCGACGGTGGTTGGTCGGAGTTTTTTAAGTGGTGGTCAATTTAAGGTGGTTTGTTGACCTTTTTTTTCAATTTTGAGCTGATTTGCACATATAGAAAGTTTGGGCTTATAGTTGCAATTTGTTTCCTTTCCTTTCCTTTTTTTGTTTTGTTTAACTAGAAGGGTATTTTGGTCATTTTGCGTCAAAAATGGTAAAAATGACGTTTAGCGCAAAGAAATGTGGAAATAGGGGTAAAAATGTCAAAAAAATGAAAGGTAATGACGTTTTCCACAATAAGTTTGAAAGATAGGGACGTTTTGTGACAATTACCCTTTCAACTTTTAGTATAGGATTCAAATGTGATTGATCAATATAAATTATACATAATTAATGTTAATTTTTTTATTTTTTTATAATATTGACTTTGGCCATCTAATTATCTTTACCTATAGTGCCAAGTTGCACATTCTTTGTGCTTCAATAGCCATATCTCGATTCATCAAACTTTGTTTCCAAAGATCCCTCTTTTATAGCTAATTAGGAAGTCTTAATCTAATTGTTCATAATCTCGAGATCGATGGATAACTACTACTTTTGTCAAAAAAAGGTCTGGAATGCCAAGTGCGGTTGATAAATGCCCCCGAAAAAAGCAAGAAAATAGGGAAGGTCGGCAATTTGAATGGTAGAATCGTAGATATGTATTAAAATGAGGGGTGAATGTTGAGGATGCCAGGCCGTCCCGCCAAGTC